GATTGTCTCAGGACAACAGGGAGCACACATAGAAGCTTTTTGTTTGTTTGTTTTGATTTTTACATTTTGAAGCACTGAATTAGTTTTTTATTATTCTCATTTCTGTTAGAAGATAGCATGCAAAGCTCCTGAGCCTCAGTCACTCCCCATGTTAGCGCAGTGAGGAGCAGTGGGGGGAAGGCAGGGGCACAGCTGAAAGAGCACTGGTTAGTTTACCTTAAATAATGACATCCTTATTTCTGGGTGACATTGTGAGAAAACTTCTCTGCTCTATTGTCTACGTTAACACAATTACATGAGGTCTGCAGGCCAGCAAACTCCACTGAAGGAAGCAGCACAAATGGAAATTCTAATAATCTTTCCAATCAGGAAAATCTGAACGTTAAAAGGCAGGCAGCTAGGAAGGAGGCTATTTTTATTTTGTGTTTTGCTAACTGTCAAAAGCCATTTCAGCTTGTGCTGTAACCAAGCACTCAGTGACTCCAATAAAAAATACAAAGGGCACATGACATCGTTCTCTGGTGTCTAGCCAACCTAAAGAGGAGCAGACTTAAGCCTCTCAAAAGAGTCCTCTCGTTCTTGTAAGGGCGTGTCAGCTGAAAGCACCGAGCTCCCTTAATTGAGATTTCATGGCACCGTCATGATGGAGAACAGTGCTGCAGTCAGAAACATGAGCCGACCAACCACGGGGGCTGCACGTCAGTGGTCAATGGCCAGCTAGCCAGACAGAAAAGTAACGGGAGGTAAAACTGATTTCAAAGCTAGATTTAATTTAATCCCATACAAAAATTGGTCATTTTAAACACATAAGCTACTAAATAGTCAATGAGACACTTTCTACTCCCTTTTTGTCTTCAGAGGACATTCTGATCTGGATTAACCACACTTCAAGGGTTTAGTAGTCCTGAGGGCGGCTGCGTCTCTGAAATGCACCTGAGGAGAGATCTGGCCAGCTTCTCACAAAGGCGTGTGCAATTACAAGTTTTGGTATTTTTGTAAGTTGAGCAATAGAATTTATTTCTATGGAAAAAGTTATGATGCTACTTTTTATCCATCAATCTCTCATAACTTTAGACTTGATGCCAGAATTAAGAAAGCTATGTCCCCCATACCAATATGGCTGGCAAAAATGGGGGTGGGACTGGAAGCATGGTTAGTGCCAGGGAATGCATGGGAGAAGGAGGTGGTGGCAGAATAGGTATTGTTTGTTTACATGCAATTTCAACCAGTGTCCTGTGTAAGCAAACAGGCAATGTGCTCGGTAAACAGAGCTGGAGTGAGACTGGAAGGTGAGATCAGTCCACCCGGTGTCGATTAAGGAAATAAAGGGGATGCGAGGAAACACAACTGTGATGAAAATGCCCTTGGCCCACACCGGCTGAAGGCCGCGTCCATGTGTGCAGCCGCGTCCGTGTGTGCGCTGCTGCTGGGTGCAGGGGGCTGTGTCAGGCACTGGACTTCCTACCTACACTGCACTCCAGCTTCCTGCTTGAGAGCAGGCGCTTATTTTTGCTTTCAATGTCTGAGGAGGAGAGAGGAGGTGGAGAGGCAGGCAAGTTACAAACATCATATGATGTTTTCTGTAATCTTATATCTCAGGCTTGATTGCTAAATATACTTATCATTCTAGATTAAAGAAATTCATATCACTAACTTAAATCAGCCAGCCATGGCCCACATTTCTTTATGATATTCCTAAGATTGGCTAAGAAATGGACCTGACAATTACACTTTGAAGCCTTGAATCCTGCAGGTTATTCTATAGAGGAAAAAAAAAAACAGAACCAAACCAGACTTCATACTTGGAGGTTGGTCCTTTCCATCCCTGTACACTGGGGAAACCACAGGGCAAAAGGCACCGAGTTAGCTCTACAGGGCAGGGCTTACATGGTCCAGGTGATTTCCTAGCTTTGAAAACCCCCTGCATAAGGACTAGACACATCTGACACAAACATGATCTCCGTCCATACTCAGTCAGAGTATTCTAAGCACCAATCTCAACACCTTTCGAATCCTAGCTGGGATGAGGATCCTTAGGGCTATGTCCAGTGTGAAGGTTAGATGGACAGGTGACCTCAAGTTTCACAGTAATGGTTTTACACTTTTGACAGTAGTGTCTACACCCTACACCAAGCTCAGGAAGAGTATGTGGCATGACCAACCTTAGTCATCACTTTGGAAAGTGCTTTGGCACGGGCCACTGTTGCTAACCACCATCCTGGTGCAGGGGCTTCACATCTGCTCTCCTAGGGATGAGAAAAGGAAGTGTCTAGTGTCCACGCCTCGGCCACGCCACCTCCAGTCCTAGCCTCAACTCTCTCGGGCAGGAGAAACTGCAGAGGATGCTAAGAAGTGCTCTGGCAGACACTGTAACACAGTGGACAGAGCAAAGGCCTTGAGTTCTGGAAAATGAAGTTCCTGGTCTCACTTTATTTTCAAGCTGAAGAGAGCACACATGGGTGAGTGTACGATAAACTGCGGTCATCCGCTTAGAAATGCTTTGGGCATTTCTGTGTCCTTGCATTTCCCACCGGTCAGTGAGGTTAACATGCTACCTGAGCTCCTTGGAAGAAAGACGCAGTAAGCAAAGTCCAAAGACTTGAAAGGACCAAGTCTCTCTCCCTACAGTGAATGGCCGTTTCTCTCCAGAGCACTTCTTCCACTCCATGACCAGCCCACTGTCACTTCCGTTCCCTGGGAGAGGCACCCTGAACAAACTGCTTCTTTTCTTCAGGACACACAGTTCAACACATAGCTTTTGCCACAATTTCTCCTTTTATTTCTGAGATAAATTATACACCTGTTTCTCCCACTACAGTATGAGTTTTCCAAAAGCAGAAACTGTCTCACTTGCCTCCTAGCTCAGTGCTCTGCCCATGGAAGCTGCTGAGTACTGAACCTAAGTCTACTTAGCTGTATGGCATCTTATTTTTTCTTATTTTACCAAAAATAAGAAAAAGTCAATAGAGAGATGAAGCTTAAGACCGATGAGTAATACAGCACAGCAAACATGAAAGACACATGAAGGAGTGGTTTCGTCTGCGTTCTTGCTCTGGGATGCCTACGCTGACGTCTGTACAGATGTCACTGTCATTAGTGAAAGCAAATGTTAGAAAGCACACACAGGCAGACAATGTAAAACCACCGTACGTCATGCAAAAAGTCAACACGACTACGCTCAAAGTTACTTTTGCTTCAACTTCAATGGCAAAATAGGTTCTATCAGGGCCAAGACAAGACATCCTAGCTCTGTTCTGTACAGGCAAGCATAAGAGCCACCTTCAGCGTGAGCCAGGCACCTGCTGGGTGCTTCTCGGTCAATGTCTGTCTTCTTTGAGACATAGTTTAAATCAAGTAGGGCATTTCAGAATTAACATTTATGTGTTTACTTATTTAGTAGCTTCTAAACTATGTATAAAATATGTAGATACCCCTGGGATTAAAAAGAGAATTGATTTATGTGAATTAATACGGTACTTTATAAAATTGATTATCTATAAATAAGCCAAGTATCCAAATTACACTGTTTCCTCGTGCAGGTTGAATGGACCAACTATAGTAACTGTTAACTGCAGGAAATGCCTATCACCACAATAGGAAATGTAACTACTTGAGTGATCTACTGAGCTAAAACACTAACATGTTCCACTCAAGGCCTTGCTAACAATTTCCTTTCTGGCTTCCCCCAGACAGATCTACTGATCTTATTCTAATGTACTTATACCATCCTGCTTCATTAGCTACAGCAGACCCACTCGGAAGCTGTCAGACACATACAACTTATTTTTATATATATTCTTTTTTAGGAGAGGAGGGTGCTGGGGACTGAACCCTTTCCCCAGCTACCAGATCTTATTCTTATATATTCACATAGAGCTCGTTATTCTGCTCTAGTAAGAGTCTTATGACTATTACTAATTCCTTCTGGGAAAGGACAGAAAGGTAGGAGCAGCCGGCAGTCATCAAGTCCTACAATGCTCTGTAGACAGGGAAGCTACTTTTAAGCAGCTTCTACACATTACCCCTGTTACCCACCACAGAGAGTCACAAACAGCGCTATCTGCTATAATTCTGTGGAGCCGCAGTCATCCACCTCTCCTTCAGCTAAGCCTCTGGCTACAAATGTAACCTTGGCTTTCCCTGGAGCCCCGCCCCTTCCCTTCCCACCACCAGTCTCTGCCTGTTCTTCTCCAACTGTCATTTCTCTTAATGGATGAATAGCAGCCTTTATGGTTATGTGAAAAATGAAATGAACAGAAAAGATGTACCTTTACGTGGTGGCTGTCACCAACACAAAGAAACACTCACTCAAGATGACTTACAGGAGACAGTGGTTTAATAATGACTGGAAAATAAGGCAACCCATCCAAGCCTGCAGGAATCAGCTCTAGTAACTCCTCAGAAGAGGGAGTTGTTGATTAGCATATCTTCATTTAATTATCTACAAACTAGTTATTTTGGAAAGGAAGGCGGGGTGTGAAGCAAGAGGGGCTGGTTGCTTTTGGAATCCCTAATTAGTAAAAGTGCCGGCTTAAAAAAAAAGTCCTTTATCTGAGCTATTTCTTTTCACTTCTTCCTGAAGAGTATATGGCATTTTAGAATCCTTGGTTTCAGCAGCAACTCAAAAAGCAATACGGCAAACTTGCACATCGAAAAGGAAAGGAGAAAAAGCGCACCATGGTTTCAAACAAAAACCAAAACAGACTGAAACAAAAATACAAGAAGCAGCAAAATCACTGGCCCTAACTCAAAGCATTCTTTTAAAGAGAGGGGGTTAGTCAGTTAATATCAGAGCCGCCTCTAGCTCCTGCTCAGCACTGAGTGTTGACGTGACTCACTGACACACACCCAGAAGCGGCACCTAAGTCCTCTGCTGCCTGGCCTCCCTGCTTAGTAGACATGGATTCCAGAGTTGCTGTTCTATGGTGACTCTCAGTGAGAGAGACAAAGAACTAGAACATTCTTAGAAACCAAGCAGAAAACGGATGGGAATACAATACCTGGAAAGTTTATCAAGCATGTTGACAAGTTTCATGGCTTCATATTCTTTTTGTTCTTCTGTCATTTCATCTATAGGGTTTGGCATGGGTTCCTCTAAATGACCAGTGATAAGATTAATGCTACAAAAAGAAAAAAAAGTTATGCTGTATGTTTTAGAATTATGCTCTTTCTATACTTTTCTGGTCCAAATTTTAAGTTATATAAGAAAGAGTATAAATAGCCAAAAATTGGCAATAATTTCAATAATAATTTTATTGTATAGAATTGCTATAGGAATGTTTATTATTATTATTGTTGTTGTTTTGCTTTGGAAAATTAGTTTTTTTAATTAAAACTGACTTGCCAACTATTTTTTTAAGGCATGGCTGCTTTTAAAAATATAAAATTTGATTGGTGCTGTTGGATAGATATCCTTAGATGCACATCTTACTCATTTAATCGTAAGGGGACAAATACTTTCAGAAGTGTAACGAGAAAATCCATTTTGTGATACAGCATAAAACAAACATGTCCAAAAAAAGAAGAAAAAACAAAAACTGGAAAAATGATGACAGAGAGGCTGCAATCTGGAAATGAACGCATGCCGATTTATAATCTCAGGAAATTAGTCCATTAGTGAGACCACAGAGGTAATGAGAATCCAAAACAGTAAAAGATGAAGTAGAAGAGTAATTTTAATTCAATTTGGTCTAACTTAGGAAGAAAATGCAAGCTAGCCTACCAAGAGACAAACAACAGCATCTTAGCTTTCTGGAAACAGATCTAGAACAATGCTCACAGCAATGGATTTCTTATACCAGCTTTGTATGAAGTTCTAACACCAAACAAATTATACTCGTAATAAGAAGGCCACATTTCTTTCTTTTTTACTAAGAAGGGAAAATAAAACAGCTGTTTCAGTGTCTAATGTCTAAATATCAATACCTTAAAGCAGTATTCTTGAGGAGACACAGACACAGTTACAGTGTCTTGTACCAGCCAAGTACAGGTTGTTTTAATGACCAAAATGCAGACAGCAGGGCCAGCATTGCTAACAAATGGCTTCCTAAGGTCTTCCAGATACAGGACCAGTGCTCGCAGGGATGGTCCGGGATAAGCAAACCAATAGAAACTGGGAGGCGTGGGAGGCTGGGGTAAACTGAAGAAAAAGCTTCCCATGAGCCAGTGAAAGGCAGTGTAACTGACTGGCTCCTCTGGTTGTTGTAAGCGCGAGCTCACGGGTCACTGTCACTACCACCAGACTTCCTTTTTACTGTACTCTTCAGAGGTTACAGACCACAACAGATCCACGATCTGTGTTGCTGTCCTCAGACAGGGTCTGTGACTACAGCTGCGCCTTAAAAGCCTGCTCAGCAGGGGTCTAATGCTGTGTGCCTAAGAAACTTACCAAGGTTTGAGGGGGCTGGGCAGCAGCTCAGGGGTAGAGCCCTTGCTGAAAAACTAGGTGTGAGGTCATGCATTCAATCCCTAGCACGTCCCTCCCTCGTCCCCTAAAAAGGCAAATGAATAAATCAAGAAAACCCCGTGTTCCCATCAGCAAATTATGTACAAGTCAGAAAGCCGCGGAATTCCTCAGGGACAAAGAAAATAGAGCAGGCAGAAGACACTGGGACCTAGAGCCCATCTGCTGGCTCTACCCCTTGTTTCTAGGTATCCTCTGTGGTTCTTCAGGGACTCTGGGATGACCTGAAAACACGCAGACTGGTCACTTATTTCTAGTCTTGAATCACTCGGGGAAACACTCTAAAGACAGAGCTGGCCTGCTTGGGTCGACGTGTGAAGTTCCCCGTGTGACCTTAATACACTGGGCTCACTCAGTGCCTGATCAGATATTGCCCTGTAGTTTCCTTTTTAAAGGTGTCCACAAAAGAGAAAGGGTCTCTAGCTAGAGGCCCTCACAGAACTGCTAAACGGGTCACTGTATTTCCCAAGCTTAAGAACAAAGAACTGAACAAGGTTTCAGAAGAGTCTGGAAATGCAGAGTCCCCATTGCTATTTCCTAGGTGAACAAAGGTAATTATTACAGCTAAAACTCAAGCCCAGGAGTCGGGCATTCCGGGAGAGCACAGGCGCAGGCGCAGGTCACTACACTCCTTGTCATTGAGAACAGGCTTCTCACACTGACAGGTGTGATCTGGAGAACCACACCTGCACACTTCAGAAAACAATGACAGTAGCACAAGCAATTATGTACCTCAGAGAAGGGTCAGGACACACAGGTGAGCCCTGTGCTGTTGCGGATTCCTAGGTTGAGCAGAACACAGAACCGTTCTTTTCTTGGTACCCACTCCCCAAGACAAGGTTTCTCTGTGGCCCTGGTTGTCCTGGAACTCACAGGGATCCACCTGCCTCTGCCTCCTGAGTGCTGGGACTAAGGGCGTGTATTGGTGGGATGCCAGAATGATTCAAGACTTGCTTTGAGGCTAGCTCCCAAGTGACAAGGTCCTCTGCTGTCTAAGCACGAAGGCAGCATTTTCATTCTCAAAGAGCAAGGCCCCTCCCCGACCCATGGAGAAAACACAATGCCCCAGTAACCCCAGGGACTCAAGGTTCATTTCTCCTTTTAAACAGACATCTTTTTTCTTCCTTATGGTACTCAGGGGAATGTAAACAAAACCACATAAAACACAAGCCGGGACAATGAACGGTGCCACTCCTCCATGAGAAAAATGTCAACGTGTCCTGGCAGAAGGGACTCTGTCCCCGCCAGCCAGTCTCGTACAGCTTCCCGCCCACGAGAAGAGAAAACAAGTCGCCATGACAATAGCAAAGCTGTATATTTTGGAATGAACACATACCTAGCACTGTTAGCCCCTACAGCCCAACACTCAGCTTGATAGGTTCTAAGATCCCAACACGGTGAAATTCTGAGGTTATTCTTCCTTGGTGTGAAGACAGTCTTCCCTGCTTTAAGGACACTGTGGTGGACCTTTGGGTGTCGTCTTTATTTTCCCTGTCTGTCTTCCCCTCTTCCATCCTTCCAGGCCTATGAGTAGTTCTATCTTCCAACTAGGTGACAAGTATCTGAACTCCTATGTATACTAACCATGATATTTTTTTAAAATAAGACCATTATAAGAACTGATGAGTTATGATCTGACAACAGGAGGATTATGGCAAAAAAAAAGGTATGAGCAAAAGAGCATGTGTATAAAAGTTGAACTACATTTCAATTCTTTTAACTGTTTCTGGTCAATATCAGTAACACAAAATACTTAAAAATTTATTAGTGTAGTCAACAAACAAGTGCATAAAGATAGATTTTTTTTTAAAGTCCTGTTCCCTTATAGAACTTATGTTCTAACAAAAAAAAAAGAAGAAAAAAAACAGACCTAAGGAATAGGGAAGCTTATGGTGTGCTGAAGGTAGGAGGTGCTGTTAAAAAAACAAACAAAAACAAAAAAAAAAAACAGCGCAAAGAAGAATGAGGTGGAACAGAAAGTTATGTGATGTCAGGCTCTACCGAGGACTAAGCAGCTGTACACAGAGGAGACTCAAGCAGGACCTGGAGGTGGAGAGGGAAGAGAAACAGCAGCCATCGGGAGGATGTGGCCCCACAGTGAGGACTTTGATCTTGGTCACCAGGCAGTTCTGAGCAACTGCGAATGGAGTCAACAAGGTCAGTGGGAGCTGCTTTACAGCAACAGAGCTGGGCAGGGCCTTGGTGCTGGAGCCCCAGCTCTCCAGCTAAGAAGCCCGGTTTCTGCCAGCCAAGGGGAAAAGGATTTCAGAAAGAGCCAAAGTTTCAGCTTGGTGACAGTTAAAAGCAAAAGACCCAACTAAATTCTGAGTGTTATCAAGATGGAGCCGTGACTGACAGGTGTGTGTGAGCATGTACTGGAGGACGCTGAGTCACGTGCACGCCTGTGCTCTCAGGACACTGATTTCTGTTTCGGAATTATTAAAGAAAAGTAGCCATGTTAAGGAGCTATGAACAGGGAAGCTGCATGAACGACAAGTTCGTCTCTGACTAGTGGAGTGGAGTGGTAGGTGGAATACAGGAGCAATTAAACCACAAGTCCCCACTTCTTATCCTTTAGTAGTTACTACTGAAAACAGACAAGCACCCTCCGGAAAAACAACACATACTGTGTTCATACAGCATCTTATGAACCCATGTTCACCTGCGGTGTAAGATATGCAGCTCCTCAGAAAACTGAACACACACAGGTGATACTCCAAAGAAAGGAAAGAAGGGACCTGAAGAGATACCAGGGCACACAAGCTCAGCACTGTCAGCCACCGGTGAAAAATGGTGCACCAGTCTCATAATTGCCAATGGGTAAACACAATGTTTATACAGTAAAATGGAAAACCTTCCAGTCTTAATTTGGGAGGATATTCTGATACATACTTCAATATGGGTGAGCCCTAATGACAGACTAAGTGAAACTGGCCGATCACAAAGGACAATATGTGATTCCACAAATATGAGGCTCCTCGATATACAGACAGGAAGAGGCGAGGAGAGAGGGCACAGGATGGAAGATGCAAAGTTCTGGAGATAAACGGGAACAACAGTACACAGCTGTAATCGTGGCATTCTCAAGGCTGTGGTCTGCAGAGAAGAAGAGGATGGGGCTTTCTCTGAAGCAGCTGTGTTGAACACGCTTATATAATCTCAGCGTTTGGGAGCTGAGGCAGGAGGACGGCTTGAGAACTGAGACGGTTCCATTTTGAAAATGCAGGTACAACAAAGGCTGATGAGTGTGAGGAGGGGGCGTGAGTGTGGCAGAAGCATTAATGATTTTGCTTTCATCCAGGGTCTTTTATGATGAGATTTTAGATGTATTTCACTGGATGCTTACAGTCAAAACCCTGCGTTCCTAAATTAGTTAAATCCTAGTATGTACAAACACAGTCCTGATTAGGCAAAGAAAAAAAATCTGCAAGTCCTGATCTGTGGTTCATTCACTTCAAGAAATATTAAACAGTATAATTTCTACAATAACAAGACAATTATTACCAGACCAGAGCGGCAGAGGGGAAGAAGACCCAGGCACTGGCCCGACACCTGAGGTCAGCGTACTCGGAACTATCCCGAGTGCTGGGCACAGCTCTGAGGCTCTGCACTCACAGGTCAATCACCCGGGTCTCCTCCCCCGAAGACACCTCTGGAAGCCTGTGCACCTAGCCACTAACGTTTAGAATGACATAAACCACACCAGTTATCAAGGGGCTCCATGCTCAGAGACATAAAAGGAAACAGTATAAAATTAAAATTGAGCTGGGTGTGGTGATACAGGCCCAGTAATTGGGAGGCAGAAGCAGGTATATCTCTGAGTTCTAGACCAGCTAGGGCTCCATAGTAAGACCCTGTCTAAAACAGAACAAATGAAGAGGAGCTTAGACAGCTGGTGTCCTTTGTGTGATAAAGGACTTCTCTGAACACTGGACAAGGCTAGATGTCCATGCGGTGTGTAACTGGGTTCTATGCCTAATTGCAAAAAACCATTTCCAGTTCATTAAATACATTTATTTTGACACAATAAAAAGACTGCTGTAAAATTAACTGTGTCTCAAAGCCTGGACAGAAGCTCCACACAATTCCTGGTTTTAGATTCCAATAAAGGATTACAGGTTACCTTGGTGCATTAATCAGAATCCACTTACATTTCTGACACCGGGACTTGGGCCAGCTGATGAAAGGTGATTACTGCTGTGAATAAATGGATCATAAGAACAGCAGAGTGGGATCCTGGGCAAGACTCAACGATAAAGGGACAGTAAAATGAGCAATCCCTTCTAAACTTTCTAAGTTTGCTCAGACTACTAAAAAGTGGGTCACCCAGAGTGACAAAGGGTTGCTTGTGACAAGTATTTTATTCACTGTCACTTCCCCAGGGACCCTGGAGGAAGATTTTAAAGTAACACTAAAGATTCCACCAGGTGTTCCTCTCGAGAGGGCAGACTTGAAAGCAAACCGGACACTAGTCTATTTGAAGGGTGCACGACATACTTGAAAAACTCCTGTTTACGCTGATAATGAGCAACATTCAAAGACCGGTTTACACTGGAAATGTCTGGCCCAGTCTGAGCTGAGAAGGATTTCATTAAGGCTGCAAAGCCTAAGCACAGTTTGTCCTGCAGCAGAGAGCAACGGCATCAACACTGACTCAAACAGATGCTTTCTGAGGTCTGACATCATTTCCTGCACTGGGGGGGAGGCATGGTGTTCCTCCGCCTTCTCTGAGCTCCTTGTTAAGGTAGCATTCTGCACTTCCTAGTTACTATGGCCATTCTACAGGTCATCTCTTGGGTGGAATAAAGCACATGAACGGAAATGCAGTCACCCGTGAGTATTTGAGTTTCTGACCTTAGCTGACTGTGTCCACAGGCCCTGAAATTTGAGAAACGGTCAATGTCATCTCCATCTTTGTTTACAACCACAGGACTCTTACGTGGTGGCTGTAGTGTGTGCTTTAAGTCTCAGCTCCTGGGAAAGCTGGGGTGAAAGACTCTGCTTGAGTCTAGGACTTGGAGATCAGCCTGGGCAACACAGTAAGCACCCGCCCCCACACCACCAAACAAGGGGGCTTTTCCAACTCGTATATCATGACAAAATGATGCGGAAATGTACTTTATGGGAAAAATTAAAAGCAACAGCTTGGAAAACTAATTCGGAGCGTTGACTTCTTCCTCTTTTGTTCTCAAATACTTGACAGAGACGTTTAAGCCACAGCATCTAAGTGACAGCAGTCTATAAAGCTCACTACTTAAGAGCCACCGCCAGCCTTTGTTTCTGCTGAAGCCTGGAGGATTAGGGTGCTAAAAATAACACCATGCACTCAAACCTGACTTGTCAAGAAACAGGTCACACTGTTCCTGCCTGATGAGAGACTGGCCATTTTTTCCACTTTATGGCAATTTAATATTATGTTGTCAACAGAACACAATCTATACTTGATTTTAGATTGTGATTTTCTATTCTTGGTTACCTACTTCATGACCCATGTCATTCTACAGAAGACGACCAGTAGAAAACAGAAGGCCAGTCCCACTGACAATATCCAAAATGAAGGTGCCTTACAGCAACCAGTCATGGATCCCAGGAAAAACTCAGCTCAAATGACTGCTAGCAAGTGGGAATTGAGGATGAGCACTGGAGAGGACCAGGAGGAAGAAGGAGGAAAGAGGTGGCAGTTTGAGAAAACGAGAATGTCTTTAATTGCACATACTGACTTGTCCTCCAGGGCACTGAGACACCTGTGACTACAGTTCTGCACAGAGCCCGCCTCTTCCTTTTCTTGCTATGTGCCTTGCTGCAATACTTTTTGACTTGTAAGAATTTTTATGCAAGGCTGCTAAGAATGACTGAAGCGTCAAATAACCAACTTTAATACTTGATGTTGTTAGCTGTACATTCTATTATGTACGCATGTGTTAGTTGTACATTAGGAAGCCTCACATAAAGGAAGGTAAATGGTGACAATGCTCTTTTAAATTGATCAGCACCTAAAACTGCCAGCACTCGTACTGCTTCAGAGAGGGTAATGGACTTGTTGAAAGAATCGTGCAGCACAGTCCATGAAATCCCACCCTGCAATCACCTGAAGTCACTCTAGGGTACTATTTGAAACTGTCTCTAAAAGACCAGTAGGTGGAAAACTTACAAATCCACAAGAGAAAGCCAAAGGGAGCGGAAGACAAACCACTAACTGAAAGACACAGCCACTTAGTAAACAGAAACTTGGTACTATACTTTGGTTTTGCATTTTTGTATTCTTCGGTGTCCGTGTCCTCGTCCTCTGAGTACCAGTTATCTCCTCTTCCTCCAGCCAAGAGGCCCCTGGCCGCCAGCAGTCCTGCAGCGTTCCCATAGCCAGTGTACTTCAGCAGGCTGTCCACTGCAAAAACACAACAGGGTTCAGACAGGCGTCCTAGGTGCTCACCACTGACACCCACCTTTCAGCAGAGAAGCTGGGGCCACCTGCCATGGCAGGAACCTTCTCAGAGAGAGGCCTTTAAACATAGAGTGGTTAGGGTGAACTACCTACAAACACCCTACCTGCTATGAAGACTTAAGATCCTGTTTTTAAGATATCAGCAATTCTGAAACTGCTCATCCGTACACACTCTGGCAAACGGGGGGGGGGGGGGGGGGGGCTCTCTCTGCCCCGAAAGTAAGAGGCGTGCACCAACTTCCTGATCTCTAATTTTATTTTATTTTCTTAAACTAAAGATAATGAAAGTCAAATGGTGGTTCTGCATGTGTTGTATGAATAACCTTAATTTTTTTTTTATTCCTTAAAGAGATAGGAAGGGAAATATATAGGCATTTTAACACCTAAGGGTATTAGCAAATTGGAAAGGTTAATATACCACTTAACAGGGCAGGGCAGGCTGGGAAGATGCTTGTGACACAGGCATGAGGAGCAGAGTTCAAATCCCCAGAACTCATGTAAAAGCTGAGCAGGTACTTGTAAGACAGAGACAGTACTAGAAAGTCCCAGGGTCAAATGAGAGACTGCTTCAATAAATAAAGTAGAGGGCAAGTGAGGAAGACATTCAACTTTAGGGCCTTCATATGTATACACATGCACACCTACACACACACACTAAAAAGTAACATGTAAACACAGGAAGCCCACTGAGTCCGACCAGCTAGATTTCCATATGATCACTATTATTACTAGCTGGTAGAACTTTGGCTCTGGCCCAGTGTCTGACCTGTAGAAATGGAGTAAGAGCTGCATTCCTCAGAGTAAGGCCACTGAGCTTCTCAGGAAAGCAAGCTCTCCTTCTCTTAAAACATGATGTAAAATGATCATGTTACACCCACACACACAGAGTTTGGGGCACTGGATACAGGTAAAAGAAGCCTGCACTGCAGAGGTGTGTGTGTGTGTTACATAAACTTTTAAATACACTGAACAATTACTGGCACTTCATTTTCTTCAGGTACAATTTCAAGGCACACAATTATGTCTATAATAAAAAGAATAAAAACTGTTAGAATTTCCTCAAGGTTTTAAAGTCGAATTTCATAAAATGATATCCTAAGGTCGAGTGCAGAAAACAAACCACATATTCATCCACATATGAAACCATGCTAAAATTGAAATAGCACAACTCATACCATCCACCTCAAAAAATAACGCTGGAGAAAATTCACAGACGTACAGACGGGTGCTGAGGAGGAGGAGGGGGAATTCACAGACGTACAGACGGGTGCTGAGGAGGAGGAGGAGGAGGAGGAGGAGGGAGAACACACAGACGTACGGGTGCTGAGGAGGAGGAGAAGGAGGAAGAACTCACAGACGTACAGACGGGTGCTGAGGAGGAGGAGGGGGAATTCACAGACGTACAGACGGGTGCTGAGGAGGGAGAACACAGACGTACAGACAGGTGCTGAGGAGGAGGAGGAGGAGGAGGGAGAACACACAGACGTACGGGTGCTGAGGAGGAGGAGAAGGAGGAAGAACTCACAGACGTACAGACGGGTGCTGAGGAGGAGGAGGGGGAATTCACAGACGTACAGACGGGTGCTGAGGAGGGGGAATTCACAGACGTACAGACGGGTGCTGAGGAGGGAGAACACAGACGTACAGACGGGTGCTGAGGAGGAGGAGGAAGAACACAGACGTACAGACGGGTGCTGAGGAGGAGGAGGAGGGAGAACACAGACGTACAGACGGGTGCTGAGGAGGAGCAGGAGGGAGAACACAGACGTACAGATGAGTGCTGAGGAGGAGGAGGGAGAACACAGACGTACAGAAGGGTGCGGAGGAGGAGGAGGAGGAGGAAGGAGAGTATGTGCGTGGACTTCAGCTGGGGATGGAGTCATACAGAAGGAGGAAGGGGAGAATCAATACTAAGAATGTTTGAAGAAGCCACAAGGACACATGTGATGAGCTTGCTCACAAATACATACATCTAGAAGTGTGTATGTATAGTTTACAGGCACTTATGTCACGTGGATGATAACACTCCCTACAAAGTGCCACAGACTAACAGAACTCAGTGTCAGGCATTAGAAACCTCCCTTTGAGTTGTTAGGGAAGTCCAAGGGACCCCCAAAACAATAGAGGCCATTGTCCTTGGTTGCTTCCCAGAACTTGAAGACCCCACTACTGGGACACTATACACTTCAGACACAGGACTGAGAGGAATCAAGCTGCACTTGCCGTGGAAGGCTCCTCTCTAAGGACTAGCTCATAGTATCTGAGGATGCTACGCGAGCTGCCAAGGGAGCCAAGCTAGTGACAATCCTACCCAGCTGCAAAGCTGAGGACTGGCAGGGCAACTATTTCCAGAGGTGCAGTAGTGGCAGCACCTGAGGCTACCCACAGCTGTCTAACTATCTGAGACCCACTCACTAGAAGGGAATTGAACCTGTCTGGAAAGGTCACAGATCCTACGGGAAACCTACTACTTCTGTCTTCCTAACCCAGCATCATTTTTAACTGCCTTCAAATACTGCCCTGATGCCCACAGACAAACAGAGCTCCTCTCTGCAGCAGATGGAGGGAGGGAGTGACAGTGGAGTGGACAGGCCCATTCAGTGCATCGACAGCGAACACCTACAGCTAAGACTCAGGAAACACTGCAGAAGGTGGGGCGGAAAGGCTGTTACAACTGCTAAGAGCCAGAGGTCCAGGACATCTGCCACCAGACAGTGGCTTCCAGACACAATAGGGATGCTGCACCCATGAGATCTAAACAGTGGGCTCTCCTAAATAAGACCTGGGTAATGATTAATGACACCATGAGTCCACATGCCAAGCGGATAGGACAAATTTCGTAGGGCCCCACCCTTAGGTGAAGATTACAGGCCATCAATGCCGTCTGAAAAAGGAGGATCAGTTTCTCCAGGGATGAGCCCAGGCCCCTGAGAGGTTACTGAATCCCAAGTGGCCAGCCCTAAACACATGCACATAACAGCAACACCAAATCGACTCAGTAGGTTCTTGGATATTTATGTGTGTGTGAACATGCATATAACTATATAATATTACAAGAAGTCACGAATTTGAGGGGGGGTGAGAGGCATGGGAGGGGTGGAAATAATACAAACATAGTAGTCATGTGAAAATTTAAAAAATAATTATCTTGAGGACATTAAAGTAGTTTAAGACAGAGAAACAGATAAGAAAAGGGAATATTCTGGTCAGAGTATGAAATTATAAGGAATATAAGTAACACTAATTAATTTGTTAAATTTTAAAATACTTCAACTAGAGAGCACTTCTTTGATAGAAAAAATACCTACTCTGGGGACATATGAAGGCATACCTCCTTTCAAGGAATATAGAAAACTGGGTACATTTGTAAAAATGGAAACATGGGTTGAGTGAGATTTATACCATAAAGCCCCAGTTGGCCTGGGGCTCACCTCCCTCCTTCCCAGGTCTCCAGGGCACCGAAATCACAGTAAGGTGCTACCACACTCCGCTTCAACCAGTCATTCTTAACCCCAGACCTAAGGTAGCTGTATTCCTTCTCAGTGGTACTGGCAAACACTATAAGTTTTTAATGAGGGAGAGGAATTTGTGCCCTTGGGTAAATCTGATATACTGTCTCTTGCTGCCAGAGCTTCAAGCTGCAGAGATTCAAGTAAGTCAGCAAATGCCTAGTGAGCTACTGAGGGGACAAAAGAATTTCTGGGGTACACAGGTATCCTTAATACTCACAGAGGTCAGACAGGATGTTAGTGGTCAGATACAAACCCTCTGGTGATGAAGGGTCACAGACATAAGCCCTCAGAACACTGATGTTTTTAACACAGCATTACTACGATGCTGATTTTTATTTGGCGTACACAGGCTGGAAAATGAACCCGGGCCTCACAGAGGAGCACTGAGCTAACCCCATTCTTGGACTTTTTAAAAAAATAAAGATGTTTAGTGGTTTCAAAAAAGTGACATTTACTAAAATTTTTAAAGTTTAAATTAAACATTATGAATAAATGGTTTAAATGAATATATTTAAGAAAGACACAAAGGAAGGGAAATGACTCAGTGGTTAAGAGCACTGGTTGTTCTTCCAGAGGACCTGAGTTCAATTCCCAGCATCCAGATGGCAGTTTGTAACTGTAACTCCATTGCCCTCTTCTGGCCTCCATGGGTACCAGTCATGACAGCGGTGCACAGACACACATGCAGACAAAATACACACAAAATACACACAAAGAAAATAATGCTCAAAAAACGAATGACATAAAATGGCCCAAGATTAAGTAGTCTAAGGTCCCAGCGGCTGTGGAAGGTCAGGAGAGGTTAGAGAGGAGTAAACAGGACACTAATAAAGTGCTTCCCTTCTATGAGAAACTTTGTGGAAGCTACTCACTAACAATGACCCGGGGTTTTCATAAGAACAATGTTACTGCTCTTTTACGGGAACGATAAGCCAATTCTGTGGGAAACAGGCTACAGAGACGATTTAAGACATATTATTGTCTTCAAGATAAAGTTAAATGAAATCTCATTAAGTTTTTAAACAACTAAAAACTGGGGAGCAAAGAATGGAACCAAAGGGAATACAGAACTCTAGCAGAGACGACTACTGGAGAAGCCTTAGCTACCTCTCACGGTAGGGCTAAAACAGACACCGGGAAAGAGGCTTTCTAAGGGAGGGCTTTCTGTGGTGTTACAAAGACACACACAAGGGTGCTTGTGCTTTGTCATCATGACTGTCTGTGAAGTCAAACAATCCCAGCAAGCAGATGCGTCAGGTGCTGGAGACCCGCACTGGCAGGCACAGTGCTGGAAGCCTACCCAGATGTGAGTTCTATCATTTTACCACAAGGCAGAGGAGAGCCCGCTTAGGAGACCATTGTCCCTTCTCAGAGGACTCTTTCCATCCAGAGATCCACACCACCAGCAGCTCTAACCAGTCTCCTTTCCAG